GGTGGGGGGGGGGGGGGGGGTAACTCAGATTTGTTTGGAGATTGGTTGGAATTAGTTTGCCAACTTCTATGAGTGTAACAATCAATTGACAAGACTGTGGACCTCCAAATAAAATCACTCTTCAAAACTAAGAGCTGTGCCACAAAATCAAAATTGAGAGATGTTTACTTTCACAATTATTGACTTGATAATCCAGATCCAAATTGTGGTGCTGCTTCAAATAAGCCAAATGAGAAGTGAAAAATAATGGCAGTTAGAGATTTGCTTGGCTGAAAAGATTGGAATTAGTTTGCAAGCTGAACACAGGCAACTGATTAAACCCATTGGACTCTACTTGTGGACCTCCAAGATGTTCTTGCACTAAACCCAAGACGAAGACCGGTGCAGAAACCCTTGCCCCTAGTTTGTGGACCCTCTATGACTATGTTTGAAACCTTAGCATCACTCAATAGCCACTGACTCTTAAGCACATTTCCCACTGGCACCCACTTGGTCGAGGCAGGAGTGTCTATCTCCACTAACCCTCGAAAGTTTGGACATATCCTCCAAAGAGTTGGGGGATATGGAGGGTGAGGTGAGTACTCTCTGCTGGACCATTGCAGGTGCTCGTAAGTGTGGGCTGACCCACAAACAGTGACCTGACTGGGCGTCAACTGAACAGCACTGTACCAAAAGAAACAAACACAATACACTTTTCTTTCGCGCCTTCATGAGGAAGTCCAGTCTGCCACTTGGTGTTGTTCAAAACATATATATGAAGAGGTAATCCATGTATAATCTGGGTTATTAGTGTTTAAATGTTTTGGGAACTCTTGGTGAAGACAACGGCACTCTTTCCAGCTTGTGCAAAGTTGTAAAGGGATGCAAACCAATTCCACTGGTGTATATGACAGTTCTGCACCTCTTCTGCAGTTCTGCAAGGTCACTGCAAGGTCACTATATGCCTACATATACGCACTGTCAAGTTGGCCGATTTCTGAAACGTGAGGTGGCAGACTGGGCTTTCCTCTGAACGGCGGTCACTTACCTCACGGGATCCACACTGTAATGTTTGTTTATGTGTTAGGTTGTGGGGCGTTTGTGTCTAAGCTTGTCATCTCCCTGACCTTGTTATGGGTAAATCTGCACTACTTTAGTTTATGCTCGAGGGAAGACATCGGCAGATGTAGTGAACCACGTCTCCCATCTGTGTGAGACCCTGCGGGACAAAGCGGAGTCCCGTAACTCAAGCAAGAAGCCTACGGCCATTCCACCGGGATACTTACTCTCACCTTTAGTTTAATGGATTTGCTTTGGCAATGCTATGTGCTGCTGCTGCATATCGAGCTTGTCACGGTAAACTTAACCCTGATAGCAAGAGCAAAACAAATAAACAAAATGTTGAGCTGTTTCCTCAAGTGTGTTTGAGTAAAACCAAAACAAAATGAAATAAAGTTGACTGAACTGTGTACTGAACAGAAATAAATTAAAACCAGGTGACTTCAAGCTGGAGAAGGTGAGCTTTAGTTTCATGTCAGGAGACATAGTGAAACAGAAGAGCTAGAAAACAAAAGGGAGGTAGAAAGTGCACCGCATTGTTTCAGAATAATATATATGAAGACACCAACAGCAGGACAGACATATAGAGATGGAACAGAAGGGGACACACACAGCGTACCACATGCCAGAGGTCAAAGGATGCATTAACAGAGCGCCCCCCGGGGGTAATGGGAGGAAATACATGCATTCAGTGCTCGCTCTCTCACGCTCAGGTGTAACGTTGTGTCAATGCAGCAGGTTCATTGCATCCCAGCACCCACTCAACCAACCCCATCCCACCCATTCTGCACCAACAAGCTGCACAGGTAGAAAGAGAAGATGAGTTAAAATGGTCCACGTCTGCTGCCATGGCTTTCTGGCATCTTCCGCCCACTGTAAGTGTATCCAAGTCTGAAGAATCGAATCTATAAAAGGAACCTCTAAACAAAAGGAGCATCATGAAAACAAAATGCATTAATTTTTTCACAGTAAAAAAAGTTTATCTAGGCAATCTTTCATCAAAATGTAATAAGTTGCTCTGCCTCTGAGGCAACTTTTGCTTTATTTTTCAATTTCAATTTTCTAAAGTTCCTAATTGAAAAAAGTTGTTGTCCAATATCCCATTTTACTAAGAAACACGCCAGATTACAGAAATAAAATGGGTTTTGAATGCCAGTTCATGTTGAGTTTAAACTTTTTTTTAACCTTTACACTAAAACACATGAAAGCATAAAAAACTAATCTAAGCTCAATTATAGGAATCGTTTTGAAGGTGCACAGAATTTTTTCTTTGTTTATTTTTTCTTGGAAGCTAGCTAGCATCATGTGGAATTATAGAAATGCCACATTCACAAGTGCATTTGTCACCCATAATTCATTTACTCTGAAACTGAAAGTGTTCTGTGCTCAAAAAAAATTATAATTTTAATCACTCAGAGAAATACAAGTGAAATATCTCTTAGCTTGGTATAAAAGACTGAGACCACAATGAAAATAAAAGTAGATGCATTTTCACTCATGCTCTCAGACTTCTGGACCCCTTTGTTTGTACAAGCTGAACACAAGTAACTGCAATTTTTTATCAGGGCACATGCCAGCTGCAAGGTTCCCCACAAGCACTGATGAATTCATGCACTGAATCATGATGCGACTCAGCGAGGGTGTATTTTTAGGCCGGAGGCTTGAATAATTCAGCTAGTCTCCCAGCGTAAATGCTGACTACCTGCAGGCTCCAGCGGCCACTGACTGCGCTGCTTTCAGTAATACACAGTGAGGGACTAGATGTGGTGGAAAGCCATGGCAGACCCCAGAGTCAATAATATTTTGTGCGCTTCAGTCGCATGGGAGGAAAAAAAGTGCATTTGCTGTTGACACATGAAAAAGAAATACGAACACAGAAGAAAGAAGAGAGCACGCAGGGGAGCCGAACGGCACGCTTGCTGCAGATCAATCAACCCACATTGATTTGTTTGTTTCACATGTAGGAAATCTCTGAAGTACATAACTGTGACATAGAGAGACCCAGATGAAAGAATAACCAAACAAAGAAGAAAAAGAAGTGCGTGTGACACAATCCAAGGGGAGAAGAATCCATTAAACTAAACAACACAGGCCATTTAAAAGTTTGGGCTTTAACATTTAGACGCTTAATCAAAATAAATTGTAATGTTTAAAACATTAAAGTAAGACGGCCTCATTCATGAAACTCAAGCAGAACTAATCGCGCAAATCGCACGTACAACCATTCTTACATAAACGGATGCGTTTTCAGTGATTTACATAAGAATGTTTTCACAAACAGTTTACACAAAAATCGTTCTGCTCGTTTTTATCGTCTTATTAAAAACAAGTTCTCAACATGCACAGAAAGAAAATATTCAAAAGCTTTGCCAAGTCATTTGGAAATATTCTCATCAAAATAACATCACCTTTGCTACCTGCATGTAGAAAAACTCACTTCTGGCTCAAATGTGATGCTGTTTTGTGCAATTTAGATGCATAAACAAACACAACACAAAGAACCACTGCCAGAAAACCCAAAGCAGAACACCTGTCATAAACCAGGGACCAGACAAGTGTCTTCTTTAACACATATCTGCTGCAGACACAAGCACACCATTATCATTTACTCGTGACATTTCTGGAGTCGATAAACAATATCCCTGGATTGGGAAACGAGGGTGAAGGTTACAGTGGCCCTTTCAAACAGTGTTGTTGTATCCCGACCCCATCGAAAGCTCAAAATAGCCATTATGTCTTGGCATTTCTCAATCAAAATACAATAGTAGACCCCCCAACCCTTCACATTCGGGTCCTTAGGAAAGGAAATGGACTACATACTGGCTTGGGATGTCCTTTGGGATATTTCGTTGGTGAAGGCTCCAATGCCTTTGTTGGAGATGGCAGCCAGAGAGAAGTAGTACTCTGTATTTGCACGCAGACCCTCCACCACATAGGAAGAGGTTGGGACGAATGTTTTCTTTACCTGTTTGGTGGAAAATAATAATGTTACTGCGAATGACATGTGCAACAGTGGTCCTGACAATGTATTTGAGAAGGTTTGTTGTAAAGAAAGCACCTGAGATTCTTGCCCGCCCTCTTTGTAATGTAGTTCGTAACTGATGATTCCCTCTTTTTCAAAGGCCGGTTCCCATGTTAGCTTAACGCTCGTGTCTGACACCTCACCAACCTGGAAGTTGGTCGGCTGTCCAGGGACTACAAATGGAGCCAGTGTTGTCAGTTTAATAGACAAGAAATTTGATAAACAAAGAGATTTACAACTGTACATTTAGTGAATGTGGTAGAAAAAAAACATTTACTCAGTGGCAACTGAATGATTACCAGGTTAAAGTAGTGTACTTACATTTTTGTAACCCTGAAATTTACAATTGCTCAAATGATCTCGCCAACTCATGCCCAATCATTAACCTCATCTTGCTACGTTTTTGACTCAAAAACAATAAAAATTTACATTTCCAAGGCTAAAGTAACATTTCTACACTGTTACCTCACCTAATACTTACAATGGACATTTCCGATTGCGAAACTCACCATGCTACATCGTTAGCCCACCACACACTGACAACAGACATTTGCAGTCGCTCAATTCAATTTGCTATTAGTTTACTCAATATCAGCAACAGACATTTTTCAATTGATAAACTGACTTTGCTACACTGTTATTACCCAGTACTAACAACAGACATTTCCAATTGCGAAACTTAACTTGCTATGTCGTTAGCCCACCAAACACTGAAAGCAGACTTTTTAAATCACTAAATTCACTTTGCTACACAGCTACCTCACCCAAAACTGACAAACAGTGGCGATCCTAGACTTCTGGGGGCCCTATGCAAAACTGTATTGGGGGGAATGGGCGTGTGTGTGAATGAATGAATGAAACACATTTGTCTGTGTTTCACTCAGTCTCGAATCGCGCTCACGGAAAGTGCTTGAGAAAGAGTGTCACTTTTTTCAATCACTAAGCTCATTTTGCTACATTGTTAGCCCACCGAACACAAAAAACAGACTTTATCACTCTCTAAATTCAATTTGCTTCACCCAATATTCGCAACAAACATTCTTCAGTTGCGAAACCCCCCATGCTACATCTATCGCTCACCCAACACTGAAAATAGACACTTAAAATTGACAAACTGTTGGCGCCAATGGCCTCGTGAGATTGAAAAAAAAAAAGACAAACTAACCTCCTTGAAGCACTTTTACATGAATGGGATCCGAGAACGGTCCATCTCCTACGGACGTGAAGGCCAGCACTCTGATGGTGTAGGTCTCGGAGGCCACCAGACTTTGAATGGTGGTGATCACGCTGTCCTGTACGTTGTGGATGTGCCACATGCTCATGGGCTGAGATGGATCCATGGTGTAGTAGACCCGATAACCTTTGATCTGTCCATTGGGCTCCTCAGGTTCATCCCAGCGTACCATCATGGTGTTCTGGGAGATGATACGGGCCTGGATATTGCGTGGTGGGCTGGCGGGAGCTTGCTCCCCAGTCCTTGCCTCAACTGGTTCGCTGGGCGGGCCCTGGCCAATGGTGTTGAAGGCTGACACGCGAATCTCGTAATCAGTGTTTGGAGAAAGTCCACCGATGCTGTAGCGAGTGGTAGTGATGGAGTCCACGGTCTCAAACTTGCTTTCAGGAGATTTGGCGCGATACTGGATGATGTAATGGGAGACGGGCTCAGGGTTGCCACTGTCCCAGGTGATGGTGATACTGGTGGCGGTAGTTTCTGTTACGACAGGAGTACCTGGAGGTTTCGGCAAAGCTGCAAGTAGGGGATAAGAAAATACCATAGACTTAAACATTCAATACTGGGACTAAACACTTTCTGAAATACTTGCTTTGGCTTAGTTTTAATTTCTTTTGACCAGAGATCCTTCGAGTGACCTTGTAGGACTCAATGGAATCTTACACTTGACAATGATCTGGGAATTAGCCTCGATGATGCCCAGGCTGCTCATGGCCACGCAGGTGTAGTTGGCCGACTCACGGACGCTGTTTAACTCCAGAACGTTCCTGCCCACTGGCATCACGTCCTCGGGCGTCAGGTCCTCAGAGTTAAGCATCCACTTGACGTAGGGCATGGGCGAGCCAACGGCGACGCAAGTAATGTTAATGCTACCACCTGGCATGATCTCTTGCATGGTGGGGGGCGTGATGGAGAAACGTGGGGGCACGCGACGAACTGCAAAGGGCGAAGGAATGGCGACAAGAAAAAGAGAAAGAGAAAGGTAATGACACGCCGATGAAAATGAACCTTTCTTTAGAACGTACATGATGTTGTCTAAAGAGAGAACAACAAATTATAAAAAAAATGAGACTAAAACATCACAAACATTTCGGTTAATACAAATTAAAATAATGATAAAGTAACTAAATTAACAAAACTGCTTCACCAACAATATAGATTGACATTAAAGCAACAAGTTCATAGCAACAAGGTTTCATTGACCAATATTTGACCCATCACAGCACAATTAATTGCACAAAAATCTATTATCGGTTTCTCATCTTTAAAATGAGATCTCTATGTGGCTTATAACTACAGTAAACAAAATTAAAAGCATGAATTACTGTTAAAAAGCAGTAAAAAACTTTACAGAAAATACTCTGAGAGTATAAAATAGTGCGAACAACAAAACTTTTAAATTGTTTTTTAAATCTGCCCATGCTAAAAAAACCTTACATATGTATGACTGTACGTACACGTTGTTACGTACATGCACTAGTAATGTGAGTCCCTCCAAGAGGGACTAAAGATGAGAAACCTTAATCAGATTTTTGTGGTTGAGAGTAGATCAACTGGACAAAGCCTTTTTAAGATCTGACACGCTTCCATTGATAGATGCAGCTGTCATTTTCACAGACATCATGCAGAAATAGGTAGAGGTCAACCAAAGAGTAAATGGGAACAATAAAACCAGAGAGAAGAATTTGAGATAAAATGCATAGAGGAATATAACTGAAGGGTCGCTAGCATGCCCGGACAAAAGACAACTGGAGAGGGGAAAAAAAGAGAAATATAAGAGAATAGAACGCGCAAAAGAGCCAGAAAGAGGAAGAAGGGAAGGATTGGGAAAAGGAACGAGGGGGAAACCCACTTCATTGCAGAGAAAGGCTTTTTTATCGTCTCCAGCCAATATGACGTAATGTAACAGGATCGTATTGTCACATTGCGGTCCTGGCTAGACGTAACACAAAATTTACAGCGGAAATTCTGGATTCAGTCAATAAGTAGCTGGCGGTTCAACTCAACTAACTATCACACATCAATAAAACAATAAAAATAAAGAAAATTATTACGAATTGACCAAAAAAGGGCACATGATTGGTACAGATTCTAGTCTACGATGATGACTGCGAAGCACCTCAACTATTGAGATGCCAAACCTACACACGATAGAAAAGATGAAGGATCTGTTGGGGGAAAGGGTTCGATATGAGTTATGGCAACGATAGAGTTGGCCAGGTTGTGCAACAGGCTTTTTTCATAGCCTGTCTGGCATGTTCATTCTTGGTAACCTTGCTATTTTGACGTGACTCGTTAAAAAGTCAAGAGACAATGGAAACATATAAGACTTTAAAATACAGACCCTGTTCCAAAACCTTATACAGATACCTTCTAAGTAAACTTTCTACAAATATTCTAAAGACCCAACTCACAACTGTTTCCAATTGAGTCTGACACAATTGTTGGGTAAAGCAGTACATTTTTTATTAGACTGAAATATCTTGAATGAAATTATTCCATCAATTTTTGTCTTTTTGTGTGGATTTTTGGATTGACTTTTTACCACAAGGATACATGCAATTCTCTTATCACTTAGCCAAAACTAGATATCTTAGAAAGCAATATAAAGTTGTTTAAGAAACACTGGGTGTTAAGTGTACGTTTATACATCTAGGTAGTTATCTTGCAAGGTTTTGGAACAGCGCATTTATAATTAGAATACAAATGTAACTAGTAGTAGCGTTCAGGTTAAAGAAGTGCTACCTGTTACATGTAAAATTTAGTATTGCACCAAACTTTATAGTTTGGTTCCCCCAAGAATCTTCAAGGCAACTGCACTGCCTTATTGATGTCGGTGGATGTAAAATGACAATGAAACAAGAAGTAGGGTGGTGCTAGGTGTGTCCTAAGATGGCGGGTGGTGAGGGGGTCATGGCTCATTTACATTTGGCAAGAGGAGAAAGGAAAGACAGAGGGACAGCAATGGGTGCTGGGGCTAGCTCAGAAAAAAACAACAACCAAACTTTAAACCAAATTAACCAAATTAACAACCACACAAAGACACAACGATGACAGGAACAACAGGTAGATATAGGGCACAAGCAGAACAAGACCTAGGCTGCAAGACAGCAGACAGGGGCCGGACAGATGGGAAGGACAAAATGGTGGACGTACATGTGGGACAGAGACAGAAGAGAAATAACACAGGGAGTGAGAGGTGGGGACTGGGGCAAAGAGGAGACTGTAACCCTGGGCCAACTGGAGTAAAAGCATGTTGTTTTGACTTCTCACACAATGGGGCTTGAAATACACGATTAAACTCTCACCATCGCCTCAGACAACAGCAGCCAAAGAGCATTAAGTCATGAATTTGTAAACACCATCGAAAGTTCTGTGGGTTTAAACCTAGTTTGAATGTTTAGAACATTTCGAATTTTAAAACCTTTTAGAAAATAAACATTACTGAGTACTTTTAAATTTAGAAATGCTGTTATAGTTAGTCAAGGTAACAGGCTCTACTCTAATTAAACGAATATATTCACAGTTTCAGAGAGACAGTTTGACGAATGATCTCGTTTGGTGTACAGTGAGTGAAAATCACATTATAACTCAATCCATTTCATAATCATGGAGTAAAACAAGATCAAGTTAACTTTGTCATTAGTTTATATATTTAAAAAAAAAATACATTTTATAATAAATTTATTAATTTTAATACTGATTTTTTTTTTTTAATTAGTAATTTAAGTTAGTAAGTTAAGCAAGTTAGTAATAGTAATCTATTTCTAGGAAATTTCCAGGTTCAGTTGAAGTTAAGCTCTGTCCATAGCATTTGGAGGCATGATGATAACTTCCATAAAAAAGTTTTTTTTCTAATTAAAAATATTATTTTTTATTATTATCTTAAAAACTTGGCTTAACTTAAAATAGTGTACATTTTTAATCCCGTAACTGAAATTTGATCCTTTTTTCCTAAATAATTTTCTGTGGTAATCAACATCACACCACAAATGCAACAGAGCAACATTTGCACTGAACCTAGATCACTCCCTTAATTCAGGAAAAAGACATCTTGATTTGTTTAGAAAACAAAAACAACATTAAAATAAACAATGACATACTGAAACGACCCCCACCCCCATATAAATGCATATTGAACAAATGTTCAACAAAGTTGAATGGGCAGCCCACGTATCACAATGTTCATGCATGACCGTGATTGCAGGAATGACGTCAACAGAACGGCACCAAACTATCAACCAGGCCTACAGCTACAGTCAACACATATTTGAGGCATGCAACCCTCCCCAAGTGCAACATTTTAGGGAATCCACACAACTGAAATGTCAAAATTGGTGAATTTGACACAGCACACACAGATAATCGCAGTGCAGGTGTGTTATAACAATGACAGAACACAGTGCAACGTGATAGTGACAACACGAGCGTGATTTTTCTAGTGTGGATTAATGATGGAAAGGCCCAGACGTAATTTGCTGATGCTTAAGCATTTCCTGCACTGATTTTAGGACAATAAATATGGTAAAACGTGGTAAATATGTTAAATAAGCCAATATATTAAATAAACCGCTGATACATATTGCGTGTGGGCCTGAAAATGGGTGATGCAACATTTGGCCGTTCTTAAACCAAGTCTACAAGACGCTAAAAACTGAAGCTTGTTTTCCAAGGGTCAAATTCAGTTGACCAAGGTATTCATGCTAAGGTAGTTGAGCGAATGAGGGCTGCAACCTTTCACCTTGTGAATTATTCATCCTATTGTTGCACGCTCCATCTACACTTGAAAATTCCCGATTCTAATCAAAAGTCAGACTCAATTGGGTAATTTTCTAAATGGAACAACCATTTGAAAAGATCGCGAGGAGCCTGGCAACTTCAGAGTCACAGGCAGCAAAGCATCGCACTCAAATAAACTGTGGCAAAAGGGGGAATCATAAGTGGGTCTAATGTTTTCAGATGCATGTCGACATTTACGGCTGCCGCTATCGATGCATCTGCCTTTGAAATGCCATCGCATGAAGCCATCCTGGGCTTTATCTTCGTCCTGACACATGGTCCTATAGCTCAAATCCTGACGTTTGATGTGCGATGGTGCTCTCCGCTGTGATATTTGGAGAAATATAAAACAGTCCAATCGGACGGACACGCTCCTCACTCACTACGACCAGGAGCCCAGCAAGTCGAGAGCGATCTCTTTGAGGTCTAGAGATAAAATCCCATTTCAAGCCCAATGTGGAGAGAAAGGCAACTCACGAGGTCTTACAACGGACAGAGAAAGACAAAATAAAAAGGCCAAAGAGTGCCTCACTCCTTGTGCTTCCTGACTAGGAAGAATGGAAGGTGGACATTCGCGGCCATTTTGGTGAGACAGTCTGTCCAGCCCCAAAATGAAGGTAGGAAGGGAAGCCAAAATAATGCACAGCCTTTAAAGTCACCTTGAAGCTGAGATTACACCCTGTTTGATGTCCAAAACCCGCAATAATCCATTTCGCTTGAAGGTAGTGAGGCCATTTGCATGCAGACGGCAGGGGTTCCCAGTATTAACACACACACACACCTCTGCCACTGCAATGCAAAGCAGCCTCAGTTGGGGTTCGGACCAGTTCTAGTAATGAAAATTGGTGCATTTGTAAAACACTACCTCCTGATTGTCTGGCCAATGCATGAGTAGCGTTCAGCTAAATCCTGAGGCTGAACTGCATTTTAGATTTTGCACCAAAACCTGTCCCTTTATGACACTTATTCGGATCAAAGTTAGCATTTGTTTCCACAAGTAGAGGGTGTGATCTAGCTTGCATTTCTATTTGAATACCAACACATCATGCAAGGACATGCAAAACATCCCAAAGTGGTGGCAGTGGGGTTCACATGCATATCCATGCGCATACACTGAACATACTCGTAGCATTTAGCATGGCATTCAGTACAGCTCAGTTTTCCAGCATCTCGGAGTGAATCTGTGAGGTCTCGTTTCCTCGTCTCGGGGGCTAATTGCCATTAATAATGCCCTGGAAACATTCTAAGATCTTGAATCCTTAACATTTTGGCATTATGTGGAGTTGAATGGCGGAACGGTTGAGAGCTTCATTGTCAGGCGGCAACAATGAAAGATTAGCGACTTCATTGGAACAAGAACAATCATCACTTCTGTTATTAATTTGGTGCGAAATAGAAGAGAACCAGATAAGTCGAGGTTCAGAGGGGGAATTTTGCCAGACGGAGGCAATTAACTTCCACGCCTGAGGTAGACAGCTAACAAGAAGATCTAGTCAAAAAATATTGAGAATATTTGAAAGGAGTGGCTAGCCATTTAAAGCTGCAAACAGAATTGCAATTTATAATTTAAAAATTTTAGCTGCACATTAGCTAACAAAAACGGCATTTGGGAGTTTTTTTTGTTAAGAAAAATGGTAGATTGTTTCAAAACATGCAATTCTAGTGGCTAACACACTCTAGCTTGCAAATATGTTCTGTGAAAATTAAACTTTTCCACTGAAAATGTTTTGCTGGTCTCATTTTCAAGCTACAGCATGCTAGCTACTAGAATTTCTTTAATGTTTAAAATGTATTTTTGTTATTGCTAGCGTGCAGCTAGGGAATGCTAATTCGCTCAGTCTGTTACACTATCTACATGCTAGGCAGCAGTAACAAGCTATCAGGGTAAAGGGGGCACAGATATCACAGTGGGAACAGCCGGATATGAAAAATAAAGCTCTGTCAATAAATGCCAGACCCTGAGAGACAGAGTAGCGGCTAAGCGCACTTCATTATTTATACCCTCAATTCATGTGGCGTCGCCCCCCCTCCCAACAACACAGTGTCTGTAAAAACTGAATAATTCAGAGAGCTATTTAGTCTCAGACATCACGAGATGGCCGGCAACACGTTAGCATTAGCCAAGTGAAGCAGAGGCTCTTGTTCTATGTCATTATCCCTGACAGACAGACAAACGGCCATCTGAACCATCACTTCACTGGGGAGAGCGATGAGATATCTGCACGATTGGACAAACTTATCAGAATAAATGCGAGCTTTCGCCTTATTTATCATTCTACAGCTACAAAAAAAAAATAAAAATCACAATCACAAAGAACTGCAACCACTAAAGAATGGTTAATATGTATACGATAATATTAAGTTATATTATATTATCGTAATTATATTATTATTATAAGTAGTTGAAATTTAAACAAACATTTACATTTAAAAATGAGTTAAACTCGAAAACAATATTAAACTAATACATTTTTGTTTTTGTTTTAATGGGGTAAGAAAAACTGTAATTTCTTGCAAAGGCACAAGAAAAAAAAAAGATATTTAAATTTCATTTAAAATGTAATCTTAATTTAAATGAAAAGAGTTTAATGTAAACTTGAAGATATTATTAATCTAATATTCCAATCTAATACGTTTTTTGCTTTAAAAATGCCAATTGAATAAGAAAACAAATATTTAAAAAATAATTTAAAATTTAAGACATTATCTCAATTTTTATCTAATACAGAATTTTGAATGTACACACTTTTGGTTCTCAAGTAAATATATTTTTTTTAAAGTACGTTTAGATATTTTTCGCTTATAAAACAAGACTACGTTTCTGAAAATCTCCTTAAAAGTGTGTGGACGAGCATAAAAATGGTAAATATTGTAGTGGTTGCTACAGCTCTGCACGCAACCAACACGTAAAGCTAAATTACCTAGAATCCAAAAGGCAGACGGGATTTCGATATGCATATGAAACAGGCGTGCAATTACTGCGCTGGGCTGCATTAGCGAAGGATTAGCATAGAGAGACTCACAAACAAAGCACCTGCTTTTTGTTCTGGTCCAATTTGGGGGTTTTAATACAGCACGTCTCGGTGATGTGTAAGAAGCGCTTCAGATGTACGCTGGCAACGAGGACTCGAGCGGATGATAAATCCTAATTTGATTGAGCCTGCAGACTGTGAAAGGGCAAGAGCCAGTCAGTCATCACGAGGAAATATCGCTAGCTTGTTGCCGCTGTGAAATAAAGCCTGTTTTCTGGGGGGGGCCACATGAAGTGCGGAGATCATTATATCTGCCAATGATCCATGTGGCACAAAAACTAATTAGCAGAAGTGAATTTGCAAGCTTTTGTGTGCAAGAACGGCTTTGTAATTGAGAAGATGGCGGGAAAACTGTCTGCAGAAAGAGCCTACAAAAGAGACGACAGAGCACAGAAACACAAACCATATCTAACAAACCAGAAACTAGAACGGAAAGGGAGTCGAAAATGAACAAAACTAAGGGGTGCACATCACACGAACACCACAACACAAGGAACTGACTGAATGAGTCACCAAAAAAGGCTCGAACTCTCGTTTTGGACAAAAACAAAGAAAATAATAAACCTCACGAAAACACAGCAATGCAACAAAGCACGACTGCCAAAGGAATTACGTCTCAAGGCATGCAAGCGCAGTTACATTCTCCCATCATGCATCAAGCTGTGGTTTACTTTCAAATGCGAGATTTCCATGACAGCATAAGCATTTTCTTTGGGCAAAAGCAATACTGAAGGATGCAAACGAGAAAAGGCCCCACAATGCAAACTTAAACGTAAAAAGGAAAATAAACCCGAATTAGCGGGTTAGTTACTACTAGTTTATGCAATTAAATCAAAACTCTAAGAATTTAAAAGTTATTTAGCAGCTTAATTTTAAACTCCGAATCGCCAAGGATCCTTCCAATAGATCAGTCAAGGTTAAGGTTTTAATACATGTTGATTTTGTGTTTTTAATGTGGGTTAAAAAAAGTGAAAAAAGAAAAAACACACCAACCTTCTCGAAGCTCTGAGGGATGTAAAGGGGTTGATGCAGAACACAATGACATGAGGAGAAGAGAAAAATAGGGGAAACACAGAGAGAGTAAAAAAGGCCACCTCAAGGCTTTTAGCTGCTACATTTTCTGACTGATGTCGCCTGATTATTTATTGCGTGACACGCGACATGTCTGCCGCGTTAACCTGCTTTGACCCAAACAGTTTGATTCACCCCAGTGGTTGCGTTCGGCCACTGGCGTCTATTCAAGCATGTTATAACAATGCAAAATTACAAGGTCTTTAGCCACCTGAAGAGCTGCCGCTGCGGCTTTAATTACAGAAACAAAACAAAGACACAAAAACAGAAATCAATGAAACAACCCAAAGTGCAAACCAAATCAAACCGACCGTACAAATAAAAACCACATAATTAGCATTAAAGTTAGCAGCTACAATCAAGTCAACCGATTCTAAAGGCGTCGCGCTATTATGTGACACGTAAATGCAGTTTAGCTCGTATAAACGGCTGAGCTGTTTCCTCCATCGTAGCTGCTAATTTCAAGTGTCGTTAACTTTAGAACAGAAAACATTTGATTGTATCCAATGATTAAGCTGTGAAAACAAAACAAAAGGAGACGGGATACTGTCTTAATGCAGTATGTGCATAATCAGCGAGACATTAGCATACCTATGTTGAATTAATTATCGCTGTGGTAATTTGAATGGCTTTCAGAAATCTCCAGTCGGCCAATTACTCAAATGTCACTAGACATCAGATCAAATGCAACTGAACATCTAACGTCTCTTAAAATTGTAGGACTAAAATACTTCAAAACACGAGGTCATAGTTTTACACTGACTTTACCATGGTTTAGAGGTGCTATAAGGCATAATGTGCTTAAAATACCCTTACCATGGTAATGTCACTGTAAAAGTAAGGTCTCTTGTGGCTTATTTAATAAACTGGTGGTAACTGCTAAAAATCACCAACAGTCAATCATTTATCATTTATGATAATCACATTTAAAAACGGTTTGATTTTATAGCTGCAACTATGCATTTATAATTTGTAAATTAATTAATAAATGGGTTATTCACCTCAAAATGATCATTCTATCATTTACTCACACTTATGTTGACCAAACCTTTATTTGTTCCTCTGTAGAACACAAAAGAAGATATTTTTTGTCCATTCAATGAAAGTAAATAAAGTCTAAGGTTGAAATCCCATCATTTGCATTCTACTGAAGAACAAAATTCAGACTGGTTTGGATTGATGGGAGTAAATGACAAATTTCATTGAAACTGTATCTGTCGTTTTGAGATGGAGCATCTGCATCTTTTCTAGTGGGAGAACAATAATAACTATAATAATGAGAACAATAATAACTATAATAATGAAAAGACAACTCTCTGACCCACATTATAATGGCCGGTGAATAATTTATCTGTAACAAAGTTATTTGGTACACAGCGGGTAAAACCTATCCCATACACTGTCTTTTTTTATATGCATTAAATCAATAATACATGCGCAAAATGCATCTGCCTCGATTTATTAAAATCATCAACCTGGAGATTCAACTCCTCTTAAGGTTAGCGGCAAGAGTCGTCTGTGCTAATGCAATGCCTTAAAACAGTCGTTCCATTATAATAATAATAACTGAACCAAGACAGATTTAGCAATTACTTGTTAGCATGTTACATTTTGAATGTATACACTTGTGATAAGCAACATGCATATTGTTTACCTTGCAACATTTGACCATTTTACCTTTTTGGAGGGAATCAGATTAGTATTTTGATTGGTTTATAGCATCGGCCAATCAAAATCAAGACTTACCATTATCCTCTTCAACCTGAAAACTTGATTATAAAACATACCTGTACGACCCAAGTTTCCGCTCGTCAAAGAGAAGACTGAAAACTACCCATTAAGTATCGAAAGTATCGAATGAGCATATTTTATTAGGCTTTGGTGTAAAGACTCTATTAGTTTATTTACAACAGGTCATGTGACCAGTCGTGCATCTCTTATTGGTGGGTTTCGATGGGCTCCACGGCCAGGTTGCTCCCTACCTCGCACATACAGGTTGGCAGGGGAAGAGTATCGGACGCCTTCCACGTTAGACGCCACACACTCGTACTTCCCCTGGTCGGTTTCCTCAGTGTTTTCTATCTGCAGAGCACCTGGGAGAGAGAAAAAATACACCCCAAAGAAAGGGATGAAAGACAGAGAGAAAAAAGACAGAGAGAGGGAGAAGACAGCAAACTATTAGAGGTTCGAAAGTAACAAGACTGTCAGAAAGCATTTTATTTTTTGTATGTTTGGTGCAACATTGTATCCAAATAAATTGCTCAAAGGCCTTTCCCGTTTGAAAGCCAACTTCGCCTTTTAACGCTAACTCACTGTGTTGAATCTGAGCAGTTCCACACTCAAGGCAAGAAAAATTAGACTGATCTAAATATGTCTGAATGCATCCCATCAAACGCAAACGGAAAAGAACTAGCAGCAATGTTATGGTGTTCGCAGGAGTGCTGGATCGCATCAATCAGCGTGCTGGGAAGTATCAGGGTGTGGAGTCGAAGGAGATAAACCACTGTCGGTCCCAAAGGGGGGAAAGTTGGTGAGGGTCAAGAGTGAGCTGTGAGCTGAACATCCATTAGTTCATGTCGAAATGTGCTGCACAGGGCTGAAGCTTAGCACAACGCTTAAATCCCACGGCATGAATTATTTCTTTCGGTCCCCCAAGAGCTGTAGTAATACTCATGTCAGTACATACCGCAGGACTGAGAACAGCTATTTGCAGTGCATGATAAACACTAGATATTCCTCCATATTATGCCCCAGGGTTGGGTCGTAACCATGGTCATTGCCCTGTATGCCAAAACACATGCAGTTTGAGAAGTTTGAGATCCATCAAAACTTTCTAAAGGTCTTACTCAAATAGTAAGGGCTAAGGCTAAAGGCTATAGAGCAGGGATCCTCAAATCTGGCCCACTTTCCTGCAGAGTTTAGCTCTAACCCTAATCAAACACACCTGAGCATGCTAATCAATGTCTTCAGGATCATTAGAAAATCACAGGTAGGTGAGTTTGATTAGGGTTGGAGCTAAACTCTGCAGCGCATTGGACCTCCAGGGTAAGATTTGAGGAACCCTGCTATAGAGGTTAGGGTCATAAGGTTTGAAGAAGGGGTTGGGTTCAATGTAGGAGTGTGCGATATGAAGATTTTTGATCGTGGGCGATAAAAATGTCTCCACGATCTGCTTTTGAAGAAATATCGTAGTATCGTGCTACAGCGCACATTCAATCAGCTGCAGTTCTGGTGCCTCCATCTAAATCTCAATATACTGTACAACTCGACATACCTTACATTCACATCAGTGTTAACTCAGCGGTAGAGTTACTCTCACATGACGGGACACTGCACTTATTTGCAGTCACAAAAGTACATCATTTGCATGTGCTTTAAAGCCTTGCCGGTTAAATGTTTTATTCACAGGCTGTTCTGACGAAAGAAACTCATTCCACTTTTGAGTGAGTAAATGATGGTATAAACATAAAACACTATGACAGATTTGACAGAAAGATGACAGAATTTTTATTTTTGGATGAACTATTTCTTTAATGTTAAGAAAACAACAAAACAGAGAAAAATCACTCACTACTCTTGACTGAAAAATTTTAATACAGTTGCTTTGATAGGAATCAATCTATATAGTGTTTTATTCTTATATTTGTTCATTCAGTTTCTTGAACGCAACTGCTAAATTCACCTATTGTACCTGAAAATGAAGCACTGTTTGTTTTATTTGTATAATATGTGTATTTGTAATGTTATCTTTGTTCTTATTTTTTAATAACAAAGATAAAATAATGACAAATATTTTTTATCTTTGCCCACTTTAGCCTAAATGTTCGCCATTCTTTTTTATATTTTGTTACCTTGAAAAGCTTTGTCTTTATAATATGGAAATATCATAGCTGTAAATAGCTGTAATGCTCAGACAACTCGCAAAATAGTAAAACCAACATGACAAAGAATCGTGATAAAATCGTGAATCGTGATATTTCTTTATAAAAAAAAAAAAAGTGATATATTTTCGCCATATCGCCCACCCCTAGTTCAATGAGTAGCAACAGAAAGTCAGCCTTCCTGTATTTCTAGCTGTATTTTGAGGGCTGTCAAGTTTTGCCACCTAAATGCTGTAGTTACCAACAGTGGCTAATGTTTTGAGGATAAATAACCAAAACCAACCCCCCAAGTTCTAAAACATTTTTTGCAAGCAACAGTTTATTATACTACATGTGATCATTTGTTTTGAGGGCTCATTGTAGCTTCAGGAAGTTAGGCACTACTGCAATTGTTGCCATACTTTTGAAGGCCACAGATGGGGAAGTGTGATTTTTGCAAACTATAAAGCTGCAGTTACCAACGGGGACTAATTTCTATGAGAGTCTAAATCACTAAGCCCAACCCTCCTAGTTCAAACTACATGAGAGATATTTCAACAGCCTGTGAAAACATTTCAGGCAAGCAACATTCTCATTATATTATACTATAAGTGATCAATTGTTTTGAGGGCTCTTAACAGCATTAAACGTACTTTCCCGTGGTTCCCTTGAAGCAAAAGCAGCAGAATTTAGGCCTAAATGTACCACCTGAGCAACTGCAATTGAGGTGACCAAGAATGCTATGTTTCTGGATCCAACAACCGTTCCATTACCACTGGGGCTTTACCCCACCCCAACTCTTCTTTATCTGTCTTTCAGTACTCTACCACTGCATTTCGACAGGTAGCGTCAATACGTCCCTCTCTCCTGGAGAGACATTCATTCTGGCTGAACGAAGACTACTGCCACATGCGGCGGTGGGACATCAACAGCAGGGACTCACGCTGCGGTTTAAGCGCACAGTCTGCATCCTGTGGAACATTCTGTGTGCCAATGAGATTCTGGCTTCTGGGTCGATGACTCACACCTGCTTGCGGGCGGATCAACAGCATGATGGGATCAGGGAGTTTAGAGGCGTGGCAGGGAGAGACAGAAATGGAAGGTGGTTTCTAGAGTGTGTGTGCTCGTACACGGATCGTTTGATGTGCACATTGGCGCAGCGGGCGGCCGGGCGACAGCAGGTGGGCTTGGAGAGCATTCTAAAGTCTACTCAGGTGCGCAGCCGAATGGGAACTGGTCGCGCACAACCTGTGCTACGTGACGCCGACGGAAAATCTGGTGGAAATCACCACCAGGCATTCGGCCTGCTTCTTCCGCCCATTTCTGGAGCCTCCGACTGCAGAAAACGGGCACAAATTTTAATGTTATTGGAGCAGGGGCTGATAAATAAACCATGCCACAGTGGTGCGCCGAGCTCTCGGGGAGCTCTGAATTCTCCCCGTCTTCGCTGGGGTTGTGATGCCCTTTTCTATGAACAGTTATCTAATGATTGAGTAATGTCATTGAGGAAATCTTAGCAAGGAACATAGCATATCCAAATTCATTAAATACAAATGAATTCCCAGAGGCTCCAAAGCAAGCTAATTTTCTCAGAGCTCCTTCCTGCCTGAACCAGACTATTTTGGGTACTCCTGCTTGCTATTCAGCCGATTGACGATTCCCCACTGACTTCATTACATATTTGCAGCTGTGTGTTTTTCCCCCATCCCCGTTTCCGCTTGGGTTCGGATAAACTCACTGAGAATCTATAATCTGGGAAGGGTTCCTAGTCTTTCTCAAATCTATCAATCTCTTTGTCTTTACTGTTCACTGGTACAGAGAGGAAAAGTTAGCATAAACATTATTGAGGTTTCTGCGTATCATTACTGTCCTTGCCTTTATCTCCCAAATTGTCCCAAGCTCACCAAGCAAGAGGGGTATTTAACAGTAACAACAACAGCAACAACACAATCATTCCCTGACTATGTTGTCAGAAAACGTCTTTGATCCCTCTCACTTTTCCCTCAAATCTCCCTTTCGCTCAGCCTGAGAAGGTTTTCAATTATTATCTTTTATGTATAATTACATTTCGAATTTCCATTATTCATCCTGCGCGTTGCGTCTTTGAGGCTGCCGGTGTAGCCTTCCGTTAGCAGCACCGCTAGCGACAAAACAAGCTGTTATCTTACTTTAACTAATAGTGTGAAGCTCAAAGAGTCATAACGCCACACAATACCCTTTATGATAAACGGCAAGTGGAAGTTATTTTCTGAATATCCGTGCCAAGACGCAACCAGCTTGCTGACATGAGCCCTCTAGCTATGAACTATTATCTGAAGCCGAACAATAATGAATACATTAGCGGATTCAAATGCCTTCTGAGTGTACTATGTGTAAGCCAATTTAGGGGGGTGGAAATCTACAGAATTTGGTGCAGTTTGTTGGTGGAGCCAAATTAGCATAATCAAATATAGATGTGTAAGGTCCTTGTGACTGACAGCCATTCTGTTTTTGTGGAAATCTCTTAAGCTCTACAGTTTTCTGATGACCTAGGGCCAGTTTACTAACAGCTTGCACCAGCGCAAACAGTCTTTTGGTGTTAAAATAGTACTGTCAGGATTTACTAAAGACGTGCAGTGACGAATTAGTGCTGAAAAGGCGTGGACACAGTTATATTTGTGTCTGACCTTATTGAATATGCATTTTTAGGAGTTTCCCTTTCAGACGCAAAAGTTATGGGAGGAGAGTATTCAAATGAATCATGCAACGTGATTTGCTAACGTTTGTGCTCGTCAAATTTCTGGTATTTGCGCCATTATTTAATGGCCAAAAAAGCATGTCTTAAACTATTTTGCACTTGAAATGGCTGCAATTGTTGTTCACCGCAGAGAACAGAGGGCGCGTGGTAGAAGGGAGAGGATTTTTTCCACACATATTAATTTATTTTGAATGCTATAAGAACACTATCTGAACATATCATTTTTGCAAGCTATGTTATTTTTAATTTGCTTCAGGAAATAAATGACAACTTGGAACCCTCAACTAGGAGTCACACAATACCAGGTCTATCAAAACTTCTTGCAACCCTTCATTTTTTGACCTCCGGTTTTTTTCAAAATACTGTGGCTTCTTTATTTCTTTATTCTTTGCGACTATGCTAATTTGCACTGTGCTTGGTAGATTGCGTTGGTCAATATGTAATTGAGATGTTGCATTTGTCTTCTTTAAAAGGGTCATATAATGCAATTTTAAAATTCCCTTTCTCTTTGGAGTGATACAAGCTGTTCGTGAATAGATAAGATCCCTTAAGTTGCAAAGACTAAAGTCTCAAACCCAAAGAGATATTCTTTATAAAAGTTAAGACTTGTCCATGCCCTCCTAAAACGCCTAGTTTAAACATGCCCCCACATGTCTACGTCACTGTGTGGGATGATTTGCATAACACCGCCCAAATGTTCACTCAAAGATAGAAGGTGTAACTTTTATTTTCACTGTAGTATTGTTGTTGCCGCCGCCGCCATGTCGTGAAGACGCGGTGTGTTTCGTTGTGAAAGCGAAACTACTTTGTTTGGTCTTTCAAAAGAGGATGATATCTGCTTCGTCATGCCTGGAGCTGATCCGTGCTGGTCGCTGAGGAAATACATCAACTTTGCACAGTGGATCGCCGGATCGACTTTCACCGTGGACGAAGCGGAGTCCAGCCCGTGGTCATCACATGTGGTTGCCGCAAGCCCGCCGGCTGCTCCTTCGTCAAATCTGCCGGCCGCGCCGTTCTCAAGCCCGCCGGCCACCGCTCACTCTAGCCCGCCATGTGTGACGATGTGTGTTACTACTTTGTTTGGCCTTCCAAAATAGGACACAACTAGAAATCAGTGGTTAAGTTGTATTTACAACACTGTTCCAGAACAGTTCAACCCAAATATTCAGATGTGTGCAGCACATTTTATGGAGGACTGTTTCCTGAACCTGCAGATTAACGTTAGCCTACAATGCGTCTGTGCACAAAGGCTGTTTCTATAAAGTGTGGCAGTTCCAACTTTGCAAGGACAGTCTGGCGCTTCTGACTCACAGCCTGTAAGTAAGTTTTTTATATTTAAAGAATTTGCCACTGACGATTCAAACGTGAGTTTTGAGCAGTGTAGAGTAGCGCTTAATGTTTGTCGTTTCTCTGATCACAAATGCAGACATGGTTTTATATTTACGCGGCGCGATATGCAATGCAACGCGTAAAAAGACAGTACAAGTCATTATAATCAGTAATTATGTCCCCACTGGATGCAACAAATGCCTAGTTTGTAATGGGTTTTATTGGTGTTATCTCATCGTGCTGGGACACTGCATCACAGTATGGTAAGGGGCGTAACATTTCCGTCACACGATTGAGGTATTTGGCCAATCACAACGCACTGGATAGCTGGTCAATCAGAGCACACCTCGCTTCTCAGAACGATGAGCTTTGTAAAAATGTACGCGTTTCAGAAAGGCGGGGCATAGAGGAGAAACAATAATGTACATAATGTGGAAAATAATTACCTTAAACCACATAAACACATTACGTTACACCAAATACACAACATACTGTTCTTTTTAGCAACGTCATATGACCCCTTTAATTTGCGCGTCGTTAATAAATCACCCGCAGAAAATTCCACACCCATCGGCGCAGTTTTGGAATTGCGCTCTCGAGCTAATTTGCCCTGTTTAGTAAATCTGGCCTAGTAAATCTGTTTAGTAAAGATCTCTGCTGGCAAATCCAACTAGTCACGGATTGTGGAAAGCTCATTTTGGGAATTCTCCACTGCTTCGGTGTCAATGCGACCCGTGTCTTTTAAACTGGCCATTAAAACATTTGTCACGAACAGCCGGAGTTGGCGTGCGCTCGTGACTGACGGACACGGGGTAACCGTTGACCTGTGACCACTTCGGGCTTTAGCGATGGCCTCGGGAGATGAAGTCTTGTCATCTCCCGTCATCCATCCGATCCAGGATCATGGGGGAAAACAGGCTGGGCTGTCTGTTAAGTGGAGGCCGTGTCAGGAGGCAGCTCTGCTGGGGCTTGGAGCATGGCAGCCAGGTGTGGAGGCGAGGGGAGCCGTGAACCGTGACCAGCGCTACCATGCAGCTGTCTATTAGAGGCTGTGTGCACGTGACGGCTCTCGGCATGCTTGATTAGGCTTGGTAACCGCTCTCAAGCAAAAGGAACCTGACCATCTTCAACACACAGACACACACTTTTTACAGCACCTACAGTCCCATTTGGTTAATTCAATTAGTGGGTGATGCCAGGGCATGATTGATTTGTTTGTGGAATCGACCATACTCTTTTTTTTCTTTCTTGAATGGGTGGAACTGATTAGGAGAGAGAGGTGAAAACTTGGGCTGCAAGGAGAATTTAGAATGCATACTTTTGCATACTTGTATGCTTAGAATATCGAGATGGCTGCTAGATTTGCACAGTACATCCCACAATGCAATGCACTTTTTGTTAATTGATAATTATATATTTTTTCGACTGATCCAACAAAAGTTAAGACAACCTCAAATGAAATTGAAGGACATTTATCTTGTTTCATGTATTATACAATATATATTTTTTTTTACCGGAAATCAAATAAAAAATGTCAACATACTACAGTCTTATACTTTATATTTGACTGTTTAAACTAAAGCCGGCAGCATATGGCGTATAATGTGTTGTTTTCAATAACTTTTTTATTCTAAGCGGTTCTTCTCCTATATTTCTTATTCATATTTTATGTCAAACAAACCTCTAAATATATGCAAAAAGGGAATGTGAAAAAAAGGGACGTTTGCTTTAAAAAGCTGGTGTGCAATGACTGTAGGACTCGTGTGCTTGTGTACTGACACACACCAAGGTCATTAAATGCGAGAGCATCATCACGGGGGCGATACGTAATGCAATTGTTGTCAGCTTCCATCTGTTGGCTTGTAGCGCTCGCATAAAATGCCAATGATGCATGCACACATAGAACGGGCCGCGCTGACTGTCATTTAGTGGTGCACAGGTCAAAACTCAAGCAGACCAAACCGGCATGAGTTAAGAATGTTTACGCAGCAAATGCAAACACGCGACCGAGTCGCTAACCAATCAGAGTGCGCGAGCTGTGATTTAGCCCGAAAGCACGGCGTAACTGTTCTGCTCCGGCACATTTAGCCCAGACTGGGCCTGAGTTTGCAGAAGCCGCCCTGGGCGAGGGCTCTGTCTTGGATCACTAATCCCGTTATGCAAATGTTGCGTTATAAGTCACGTTCAGTTAAGCGAGCAGCAAAATTATTAATGTGCTGCGTTTTTGCTATATTTACGTTGGTGTGTGTAATCTAAGAAAGAGCTTTTAGGCTGGAAACTTTACTAGCTGCTGTACTAATGTACTAACAAACGTATCTTTCAAAAAATGTGTTTTACTCTGATTGAAAAAATATTGAAAATGTAAAAAATATACAAATTATAAATAATATATAATATTCCATTCAAAATTAATTACAATATAAATTAAAAATTAAATTTGAACATATATATATATATATATATA